GAAAGGTCCCTGTGTCTTTGTCATTCTCTTTCTCCGGCCTTCTTCCACCTTTCTCCCCTTGAAGCCATGAAAGGAATTCTCTGACCTAAAAGTAGATCATAAGAGCTTCATGTGACAAGTGTCTTCCCTAGACATGGAGGAAAGGAATGAACACACAGAAATACAAAGAAAAATCTGAACAAACAGGACTTGCTAAGTTCCCCTCAGTACCATTAGGTTATACCTGCTTTTTGTGCACTTATACTTCTACAAGACTATCCATTCTTCATCAAACCTAAGCATAAAATAGACAGTTTTCCCTGGTTCTTTGGGTCTTCATTTCTGAAGGCACCTGTGTTGCATAAAATTTTGATTACATAAATTTGTTAAGCTTTTCTCTTATTAATCTGTCATTTGTTATAGGGATGTCAGCTATGAACCTTGTGATGGGAGGAAAATATATTACTTTTTTCTCCCTTACAAGTGTAGGTCCTTGATTGAGAAGATTTTACTCACCATTGTATCCCTAGCACCCAGAACCAGTGCCTGGCACATAGCTTGTATTCAAATATTTACTAGACAAAAAAGAAAATGACTGCAGCAAAAAGGGTGTGAGGGAGGGAAGGAGTTGGATATGGATCCTGTGGTATTTTATGTTCCAGGAAAGGGAATAAAAACTTAACTTATTAGTCGGTAGGTAACCATTGAAGGGTGTGAATTGAGGAGTAGAGGCAAAAGCATATAGTTTAGGAAGATTAATTTGGTAATAAGATGTAGGATGGATTTTTTTTTTAAGTCACATCAACTCACCACCCCTTCCCAATCCAACCACTCTGCCACACAGCTGGAGAAATGGGTGTGCATTTTAAAAAAATAACTGTTAATCTTGAAATAGTTTGACTCATAAGAAATTGCTAAATAGTACAGTAAATGCTCTTTGTGTACTTTTCCCCCAGTGTCCCCAGTGACATTTTACATTACTGTCAAATACAGGAAAATGACCTCATTACTATACTATTAACTCAGGTACAGACCTTAGATGGATTTCATCAGATTTTACATGCACCTATTTGGGGGGATGTACAGTTCCATACAATTTTAACATGTGTAGATATATGTTATTTAATATTTCTGGGTCTGACCTTCTCTAATATCACTCTCCTGGTTCTTGGGCTGCCATCATTTACATATGAATAAAGTGAATTACCTGTTGTTTTATTTTATGTTCTTCTGCATCGTGTTCCATGTTGGTAGATAGCCTTTTCTTTCTACACCAGAGATGCTTTTAAAATTTTACTCCACCAAGATTGACAAATCATATTGTAGTTGTCCTTCAATATAGGTGGAGGATTGGTTCCAGGACCCCCACCCCCACATACACACATGCGAACACACAGACACACACACATACACACACTATACCAAAATCTGCATATACTTAGCCTTGTAGAGCTCAAGTATATGAAAAGTCAGCCTTCTGCTTACACAGATTTCACATACTGGGAATACTGTATTTTCTATTTGCATTTCGTTGAAAACATCCACCTATAAGTGAACACATATAGTTCAAACCCATGTTGTTCAAGGACCAACTAAATATACTAGGTCTTAATTTTATACACACACACACACACGCACACACACACATATATATATATATATACACACATACATACACACACACACATATATATATATAATTGCACTTTAGGTTTGGGGGTACATGTGAAGAACATGCAGAATTGTTGCATAGGTACATACATGGCAATGTGGTTTGCTGCCTCAATCCCCATCACCTATATCTAGCATTTCTACCCATGTTTTTCCTCCCCAATTCCCTACCTCACCACTGTCCCTCCCCTAGTCCCCCCACAGAAGACCTTAGTGTGTGATGCTCCCCTCCCTGTGTCAATGTCTTCTCATTGTTCAACACCTGCACATGTGGTGTTTGATTTTCTGTTCTTTTGTCAGTTTGCTGAGAATGATGGTTTCCAGGTTCATCAATGTCCCTACAAAGGACACGAACTCATCATTTTTTTTATGGCTGCATAGTATTCCATGGTGTATATGTACCATGTTTTCTTTGACCAGTCTATCATCAATGGGCATTTGGGTTGGTTCCAAGTCTTTGCTATTGTAAACAGTGCTTCAGTGAATGTATAAAGCCTGTGTCTTTATAATAGAACGATTTATAATCCTTTGGATATATATCCAGTAATGGGATTGCTGGATCAAATGGAATTTCTATTTCTAGGTCCTTGAGGAATCGCCACACTGTCTTCTACAATGGTTGAACTAATTTACACTCCCACCAACAGTGTAAAAGTGTTCCTATTTCTCCACATCCTCTCCAGCATCTGTGGTCTCCAGATTTTTTAATGATTGCCATTCTAACTGGCGTGAGATGGTATCTCAATGTAGTTTTGATTTGCATTTCTCTAATGACCAGTGATAATGAGCATTTTTTCATATGTTTGTTGGCCTCATGTATGTCTTCTTTTGTAAAGTGTCTGTTCATATTCTTTGCCCACTTTTGAATTTGTTTTTTTCTTGTAAATCTGTTTTAGTTCTTTGTAAATTCTAGATATAAGTCTTTTGTCAGACGGGAAGATTGCAAAAAATTTTTCCCATTCTGTTGGTTGCTGGTTCACTCCAAGGATTGTTTCTTTTCCTATGCAAAAGCTTAATTGTTTCTTTTTCTATGCAAAAATTTAATTAGATCTCACTTGTCTATTTTGGCTTTTGTTGCCAATGCTTTTGGTGTTTTAGTCATGAAGTCCTTGCCTGTGTCTGTGTCCTGAATGGTTTTGCCTAGGTTTTCTTCTAGGGTTTTTATGGTGTTAGGTCTTATGTTTAACTCTTTAATCCATCTGGAGTGAATTTTAGTGTAAGGTGTCAGGAAGGGGTCCAGTTTCTGCTTTCTGCACATGGCTAGCCAGTTTTCCCAACACCATTTGTTAAACAGGGAATCCTTTCCCTATTGCTTGTTTTTGTCACGTTCGTCAAAGATCAGATGGTTGTAGATGTGTGGTATTGTTTCTGAGGCCTCTGTTCTGTTCCATTGGCCTATGTCTCTGTTTTGGTACCAGTACCATGCTGTTTTGATTAGTGTAGCCTTATAGTATAGTTTGAAGTCAGGCAGTGTAATGTCTCCAGCTTTGTTATTTTTGCTTAGGATTATCCTGGCTCTGTGGGCTCTCATTTGGTTCCATATGAAGTTTAAGGTGGTTTTTTTTTGAGTTCTGTTAAGAGGGTCATAGGTAGCTTGATGGGGATAGCACTGAATCTATAAATTACTTTGGGCATTATGGCCATTTTCACAACATTGATTCTTCCTAACCATGAGCATGGAATGTTTTTCCATCTGTGTCTTCTCTTATTTCCTTGAGCAGTGGTTTGTAATTCTCCTTGAAGAGGTCCTTTACATTCTTTGTTACTTGTATTCCTAGGTATTTTATTCTCTTTGTAGCAATCACGAATGGCAGTTTGCTCTTGATTTGGCTTTCTTTACGTCTGTTATTGGCATATAGGAATGTTTGTGATTTTTGCACGTTGATTTTGTATCCTGAGACTTTGCTGAAGTTGCTTATCAGTTTCAGGAGATTGTGGGCTGAGACAATGGGGTCTTCTAAATATACAATCATGTCGTCTGCAAATAGAGACAGTTTGACTTCCTCTTTTCCTAAGTGAATACCCTTTATTTCTTTTTCTTGTCTGATTGCTCTGGCTAGAACTTCCAGTACTATATTGAATAGGAGTGGTGAGAGGGCATCCTTGTCTAGTGCTAGATTTCAAAGGGAATGCTTCCAGTTTTTGCCCATTCAGTATGATATTGACTATGGGTTTGTTGTAAATAGCTTTTATTAGTTCCGTCAATACCTAGTTTGTTGAGGTTTTTTAGCATAAAGCGCTGCTGATTTTTTTTGAAGGCCTTCTCTGCATCTATTGAGATAATCATGTGGTTTTTGTCTTTGGTTCTGTTTATGTGGTGAATTACATTTATAGACTTGCGTATGTTGAACCAGCCTTGCATCCCCGGATAAAGCCTACTTGATCGTGATGGATAAGCTTTTAAATGTGCTGTTGCAATTGCTTTGCCAGTATTTTTTTTTGAAGATTTTTGCATCTATGTTTATCATGGATATTGGCCTGAAGTTTTCTTTTCTTGTCAAGTCCCTGCCTGGTTTTGGTATCAGGATGATGTTGGTCTCATAAAACGATTTGGGAAGGATTCCCTCTTTTTGGATTGTTTGGAATAGTTTCAGAAGGAGTGGTACCAGCTCCTCTTTGTATGTCTGGTAGAATTCAGCTGTTAATTCATCTGGACCTGGGCTTTTTTTGGTTGGTAGGCTATTAATTGCTTCCTTAATTATTTTTAAACTGGTACATTACATTATTTCTTTCTCTTGGTCACCTGTCTACTTAGAACTCCTTTATATCCTTTCTGATAGTAAAATATTTCTACAAGATTGTTAACAGGGTTCAAAGTTTTTCCTTTGCCTACCCAGCCCTACTAATTAGAAATATATTTTTTCTAAGTACCTTACCAATAACTTCAGAATTGAGAATGGTGCCTGGTCAAAGGAGATCAATCATTTAAAGTCCTACTTTGTGTTTGTAAGTTCTTATTTATTCTTTGTGAGTTTTTAAGATATTCTGCTCACCATACTATTTTACTAAAAGCCGACTTTCTTAGTTTTTATATATCATTGGACATATTTAAAGGGATTTCCAAGCCTTCCAAAACAAATTGTTAAGATTAAAATAATATATTTTAGATATTGCAGCTGTGCTGTAGGTATCCTTTTTTTTAAAGATAAGATCTCACTCTGTCACTGTATTTATATATGTGATCTACATGAGATAGATGTGCTATATATACTTCATATACTTATATGTTGCTGATGTTTAAGATAGTAATTGAGGTTATTTAATAGGTTTCTGAATTAATATGCATGCCTTGGTATGAAGTTGAAGAAAAACCAAACTCTGTCTGAATGTACTTGATATGTTTCTTATAGGTTCTGAGTTCTGTTCGCACAGAATGGGACCCACTGGATGTTTGCTTTGGAGCTAAACAGCCTTATCAGATGTTCACAGTGGAGCACTCCATCAGTGTAGACAAAGAGCCCATTGCTGACAGCTGCATCTATGAATGTGTTCGGAATAAAATCCAGTGTGTGTCTGTCACCAGAATACCACTAAAATCGAAGGCCATCAGTTGTTGCAGGAATGTTACTGAAGACAAACTGATTCTGGGCTGTGAAGATTCCTCACTAATTCTTTATGAAACGTACCGTAGAGTGACTTTCCTAGCACAGACTGAACTTTTGCCTTCATTAATAAGCTGCCACCCAAGTGGTGCCATTCTGCTAGTTGGCAGCAACCAAGGGGAGTTACAAATTTTTGATATGGCTCTCTCCCCTATTAACATCCAGCTGTTGGCTGAAGACCACTTACCCAGGGAGACTCTGCAATTCAATAAATTATTTGATGCTTCCAGCAGTCTTGTTCGAATGCAATGGATAGCTCCTCAGTTTGTTTCTCAGAAGGCTGAAGGTAGTGATATCTATGATCTCCTCTTCCTCAGGTTTGAAAGAGGACCTTTGGGTGTGCTGTTGTTCAAACTAGGTAAGTTAAGGAAAGTCGTAAGTAAAGTGTTTATGATAGTGATATAATTAAGGCAATAAAACTATTCTTACAAAATAGATTTTTCTATTTGTCATCCCGTAAATATGTTTGCCTTTTAAATATCCATATAGTTTCCTTTTGTGGATAATTTTCTAACTGTCAAGGGAACATTAGATATTGAAGAATTTGGAAATTGCATTAATTGTCAATCATGATGCTTCAAAAACCCGAACTTTTACATTTGATACTCTCTAAAATAAACTGCACTACTAAATAATTCCTTAAGCAATAGATATGTGAAGATTTTAAAAGGACTTACTTTGTCCATTGAAAAATTCTGTGTTGTAGGAACAGAATAATTTTTCTATAAAAATTATTTTAGATTATTGGTATTTGTTGATTCTCAGACTGGAATTGTGTGAAACAAGAGTTTTAAAATAAAAGAAAGCAGATATTTAGTTAGAATTTGCTGAAGATATTTGTATAACTTTGTTTTAGTTTCTCTTTTGGATAAAAATATTCAAAAGGATAGATATTTTTATAGATGTTGATAAGTTAATATCTATAAAATTATATATTAATGTAGCCCATTTCAACCAAGAGACTTTATTTTTTTTAACTTTTATTTAGGTTTGTGGGTATACATTAAAGTTTGTTATATAGGTACAGATGTATCATGGGGGTTTGTTGTACATATTATTTCATCACACAGGTATTAAGCCCAGTGCACAATAGTTATCTTTTCTGTTCCTCTCCCTTCTCTCATCCTCCTCCTTCAACTAGACCCCAATGTCTGTTTTTTTCTTCTTTGTGCTAATAAAGTATTATCATTTAGCTCTCACTTTTAAGTGAGAATATGCGGTATTTGGTTTTCTGTTTCTGCATTAGTTTGCTAAACATAATGGCCTGCAGCTCCATTCATGTTCCTGCAAAAGACATGATCTTGTTCTTTTTAATGGCTGCATAATAATCCATGGTGTATATGTACCACATTTTCTTTATCCAATCTGTGATTGATAGCCATTTAGGTTGATTCCATATCTTTCCTATTGTGAATGGTGCTGCAGCAAACATTTGTGTGCATGTATATTTTTGGCAAAATGATTTATATTCCTCTGGGTATGTACCCAGTAATGGAATTCCTGGGTCAAATGGTAGTTCTGCTTTTAGCTCTTTGAGGAATTGCTATATTGCTTTCCACAATGATTGAACTAATTTACACTCCCCCTTCACAGTGTATAAGTGTTCCCTTTTCTCCACAACCTTGCCTGCATCTGTTATTTTTTGACTTTTGAATAATGGCCATTTTGACTGGTGTGTGATGATATCTCATTGTGGTTTTGATTTGCATTTCTCTAATAATCAGTGATACTGAACTTTTTTTCATATGCTTCTTGGTCTCATGTATGTCTTCTTTTGAGGAGTGTCTGTTCATGTCCTTTGCCCTCTTTAATTTTTATTTTGCTTTAAATTTTGGGATACATGAGCAGAATGTAGAAGTTTACATAGTTTTATGTGTGCCATGGTGGTTTGCTGTACCTATCAACCTGTCATCTAGGTTTTTAAAGCCTGTATGCATTAGGTGTTTGTCCTAATGCTCTTCCTCTCCTTACTCCCCGACCCCCAATAGGCCCCAATGTGTGCTGTTCCCCTCCCTGTGCCCATCCACGTATTGTGATTGTTCAGCTCTCACTTATGAGGGAGAACATGTGATGTTTGGTTTTCTATTCCTGTGTTAGTTTGCTGAGGATGATGGCTTCCAGCTTCATCTGTGCCCTGGCAAATGCCATGATCTCATTCTTTTTTATGGCTGCATAGTATTCCATGGTGTATATGTACCACATTTTTTTTATTCAGTCTATGATTGATGGGCATTTGGGTTGGTTGCGTCTTCACTATTATAAATAATTTTGTAATAAATGTGTGCATGTGTCATTATAGTAGAATGATTTGTATTCCTTTGGGTATATATTCAGTAATGGGATTGCTGGGTAAAATGGTATTTCTGGTTCTGGATTCTTGAGGAATCATCACACTGTCTTCCACAATGGTTGAACTAATTTACACTCCCACCAACAGTGTAAAAGTGCTCTATTTCTCTATAGCCTCACTAGCATCTATTGTTTCTTGAGTTTGTTTTTTTTTTTTTTTTTTTTTTTGAGACAGAGTCTCAATCTGTTGCCCAGGCTGGAGTGCAGTAGTGTGATCTGAGCTCACAGCAACCTTTGTCTCCTGGGTTCAAGCAATTCTCCTGTCTTGGCCCCCCTGAGTAGCTGTGGTTACAGGCATGCGCCACCACACCTGGCTAATTTTTGTATTTTTAATAGAGACAGGGTTTCATCATGTTGCCTAGGCTGGTCTCAAACTCCTGACCTGAAGTGATCTGCCTGCCTTGGCCTCCCGAAGTGCTGGGATTACAGGTGTGAGCCACCACACCCAGCCTCTTGACTTTTTAATAATTGCCATTGTGGCTAGTGTGAGATGTATCTCATTGTGGTTTTGATTTGCATTTCTCCAATGATAGTAATGATGAGCTATTTTTCATATTTTTTTGGCCACTTAAATGTCTTCTTTTGAGAAGTGTTTGCTTATATATTTGCCCACTTTTTGATGAGGTTGTTTTTTTCTTGTTAATTTGTTTCAGTTCCTTGTAGATTCTAGATATAATGTCTTTGTCAGATGGATAGATTGCAAAAATTTTCTCCCATTCTGTAGGTTGCATGTTCACTCTGATGTAAGTTTCTTTTGCTGTGCAGAAGCTCTTTAGTTTAATTAGATCTTCTTTGTCAATTTTGTCTTTTGTTGCAATTGCTTTTGGTGTTTTCATGAAGTCTTTGCTCATACCTGTGTCCTGAATGGTATTACCTAGGTTTTCTTCTATGGTTTCTATGGTTTTTTTGTTTTACATTTAAGTCTTTAATCCATCCTGAGTTAGTTTTTGTATAAGGAAGGGGTCCAGTTTCAGTTTTCTACATATGGCTAGCCAGTTTTCCCAATACCATTTATTAAATAGGGAATCTTCCTTCCTATTGCTTGTTTTTTTCAGGTTTGTCGAAGATCAGATGGTTGTAGATGTGCAGTGTTATTTCTGAGGCCTCTGTTCTGTTCCATTGGTCTATATATCTGATTTGGTACCAGTATCATGCTGTTTTGGTTACTGTAGCCTTGTAGTATAGTTTGAATACAGGTAGCATGATGCCTCCAGCTTTGTTCTTTTTGCTTAGGATTGTCTTGGCTACCCAGGCTTCTTTTTGTTTCCATGTGAAATTTAAAGTAATTATTTCTAATTCTGTGAAGAACGTCAATGGTAGTTTCATGAGAATAGCATTGAATCCATAAATTACTTTGGCTTTGCCCACATTTTAAAGGGTTTGTTTGTTTTCCTCTTGTAAATTGTCTAAGTTCCTAATAGATGCTGGATATTGACCTTTTTCAGATGCACAGTTTGCAAATGTTTTCTCCTGTTCTGTTGGTTGTCTGTTCACTCTCTTTGTATTTTCTTTTGCTGTGTAGAAGCTCTTTAAAGCGACCTCTCTTGTCAATTTTTGCTTTTGTTGCAATTGCTTTTGGCATCCTTGTCATGAAATCTTTGCCCATTGTCCAGGATGGCATTACCTAGCTGTCTTTCAGTGTTTCTATACTTTTGGGTTTTACATTTAAGTCTTTATTCCATTTTGAGTTGATTTTTATGTATCAACTAACAGACTTTAAAATATAATTTATTATGATGATTCACTTGCCTTTTCTAAGTTTGCATTACTAGCTATACCCTGAAATATATGGTATACTTTAGGTATTAGATTTCTACAATTTAACATTCTTGAGAGAATCTCACTTAGGTTTAAAAAATAAATTTTAATTAACGTACAGTATGGCTACTTGAAAACATAGAAAGAGAAATACATTTTAAAACCCCTTATGGAATTTGGCTCTGTGGTACAAAGTTAGGTTTTTAAAGGCATTGCAGTGTTTGTTAAACAGCTTTCAATTTACTTTGTTATTTTATTGATCTGCTTGTCTCTGAAGTTGAGTACACAAAATAAGTCTAGTGAACATGACTTGATTAACCTGCAAGATATAATGTATACAGTGTGAGACCTATGTTCTTTTCACATAATAAAAATGCAGCTATATCTATTCATAATGTTAATATTCAAAAAAAATGTTTGGAGTCTCATTTATTATGAGATAATCCAGTTATACTTTGCCCAACTACATGTTTAACAGTTGTATGTCTCCATACACAACACTAATTAAACTGGATGTTTGATGTTTCACATATCTGTTAAAACACACACACTCATGCACTCATGCTCACACACATGCACTCTCTTTCTCTCTCTCTCTCTCCCCCCCCAGACCCCTCTCTCAATCTCTCCTTTAACCCTCTAAATTACCCATTTACCTGTCAAACAGAAGGCTTTCTGCCCATGTACACCTAGCTTTTCTTCAGCTTTCCCTTGTGGGCCTACTCACAGCAGCTTTGCAAAAAGCACAGCTTTCTCTTCCTATCTCTAGCACATTTGCCTTCTTACTAAAGTAAACAGGCTCTCAATGTAGGGATTTAGAGGGCTTCCTGCTAATTGCCAGCTTGTAAACTTAATTGGACTGTCTCCCTGGGCACTGTTCCTAAATCAATTAGGCATTGAGTTGGCTGTCACTTCTTTTTCCCAAGAAGGTCTCTTGGAAGAGAATTATCCAATAGAAGTCAAGCATTCAAATGAAAAGGTGATAACTTTTGCAACTGACATTTATCATTTAAATTTTATTTTCAATATGACTCTTAAGTTTTATAGGATAGGGAAATCATACAGTCTTACATGCTCTTTAGGAGATCTAAATATATAATTTCTCAGGAATTTTTAAAGTTTTGTTTCTCATTTTTAATGTATAAAATTAATATTTATTACAAATTATTTTTCCTGGGAAGAGTAGATTCCTTGAAATAGAAGATTCCAACTAGCAGATTTTTTTAAAGAAAACCCAGTTTAAAGAACAGA